CGGAGAACACTATGTCCTGCCGGAAGCACGCAATGACAATGTCGGTCAGTTATCACAGTGGCGATGTAAGGTGGAGCGACTGACATGCAACATTAGCTGTACGCACCTGGTACCGAAAGATGTCGTTGTGCACGTAGTACTTCTTGGGCGACTGCGCGGCCAGCACGAAGGTCTGCGTGAAGCGGCGCATGGGCGCGCCGCCGTTGGACAGCTCACCCGTCACTTGCACCACCACGCCGTTGCCCAGCGTCGCCTGCGAGTCCACCTGCACCACGAAACAACATTGCAGTCATCAAGCTAGTCAGTAGAAGTAGTATGAAGTTCGTGTCGCATTTTGGTGGGCGCACCTGGCTGATCTTGGCATGGCAGTCGCGGAAGTTGAGCTGCTGTATGCGGTTGTGTATCTGCTTCTGTCCGACGACGGGCAACGTCTCGCGGTTGGGCGCGTCCAGCCCGCCGTGCACGAACGACGAGTAGTTGTTGTAGAACCTGCAACACCACCGTACAACACTCAACACCAAAACACTACAATATTAAAGTATCGAACTAAATATAATCGAATAACTTAATTATAATTTAACTACTGTGAGTGAATAGCAAAAAACAAATATCGGTGCTATATTGATCAGCTTATCATAAAGTGAATATGAGTGATGACGTCAATTAGATAAGACGGGATCGCGTTACATCCTATCGTCAGACCTACCTTATATGACATATAATCAATTTCAGAAGTTCAATTACATGTCCAAATAAATAACATCCCACTATGATTAAAAGATAATTGAAAATATTTAACTGCCCCGGGACTGTCCAGTTCAAACTATCTAATGCAACCTTACACATCTGTTTTGATTTTTTATGAGTAATCATGGTTATAGCTAAACCTTTTTGTTTCCCTTAAAATAAGGAACATCTCTATCAGCTCATATCTGAATTCACTTCCTTATGCATATCCTCTTATAAAACCCTTTCATACATTATTTGTCTTCCGCTACCTTTGTACTTGTCCCCATACTTAACACTGGCTTGTTTACATGATCATAGTTCTGCAAAACCTTTTGCTTCTCAATTTCTCAATCACTTGCATTTCAAACTTCCTATAATCTACTGATTTATTAAACAAATGTACATAAAAGTTGTTATAAATGATATTAATACTAAAACAATAGTGAGTAAATCCCAGAAGCACTATATTCATGTTATCATCAATATGAAATGCTTATTGTTGGCTAAAATATTTATTTTATTATTACATATACTAATGACTCATACATTCCATGTTAGGACAAACTATTCTCATACACATATTGCAGTTATTGCCACTTTAGGTAAAAAAACATTTTTAACATTAAAATACATGCATCCTTAACACAGAGAGGTAGACAGAGATAATGTATTTCAAGTAATTGTGTTGTAAATCTCTTGCATATAATTGTTATTATTTTTTAGATAGCAAAAGTAAATCAACAATATCTCTGTTTTTCAATGATTTCATGTCAAAGATAATAAATGGTAGACCTGTGCAGATAGGCGGGCGCCTTGTTGAGCAGCGTGTAGTACTGGCGGACGAACTCGCGGCCGACGCTCTGCGGGGACGGGGACGCCTCCATTACCATCGCTGTTGTCGACAACGCGCGCTAATTCTGCTCGCTGCCCACCGCTTGACGCTCTACAACTCCTGTACAACAGGAACACTATCTATTAATAACTACTAACTTAATGTTTTCATAACAAGACATTACAATTTATACAATAACTTATTTATACATAAAACAATGAACATTTCTTTTGTAGGGTAGATCTAAAGGATACATGATGTAAACACCTAGCTTTTAACTGGCCAGGAACAACGAAAATTAAAAAAAAAAACATAAAAGTAATGTACATGTTGTTCCACATAAGTGCTGAATTACATCGAGATCCATCAAGTTGTTCTCGAGATAACTTCAACTCATCTAAACTATTGCATTTTTAATAGCAAGATGCTAGAATAATTAACTTGATTAGGTTTCTGTTTGTACAGAATATCAAACTCTTACTCCTTTATTTGGTTTGTTACAAGCTGTTTGACATTTGTGGGTTGTCTCTTTGAATAGCGTACATCATAGTCATGAAAGGAATTTCATTGACACAATTTAAATGGATTCACTTAGTTATTGAAATATTCTGTTCAAACAACTCTCTTGTACTCTGAAGGGATTGAGCTGATATTAAAAAACTTTATCATTTTGTAAGAAATAATATTAAAGATAATGATATAATACTAGCCCAATATAAACTCTTATAGTTTAACTACAAAAATTATTATATAATTTATATTAATTACACTGTAACTTGTTGTACTTAGTCGGTAATAATGCAATATTGGCTATAACATGTATTTTTAATTTACTATGTCATTTAAATTGGTTTTACAAATTTTAATAAAATAAAAAAGTTAAGTACCACTCAACATTTTTATAATTTTATTAAAGTATTGTCAAATATACTGTTTGATAAAAAAAGACACATTTTACATGACTTTTGATTAAAAAAAAAAACATTCACATTAGTTGACAAATTCTTCTATGTAAACAGAACAATTATGAAAACTACATTATGAATTGTTCTATTCTGTTTATCAACTTGAGATATTTTATATCACTATTGTTTGGTGAATTGAAACAAAAGATTTGTGGTATATTTTGAAAGTGTATTTTAAAACGATATATTAGTATCTGGCCCACATAAATTCTGCGCGTTACACGATGTTAAGGATCTAAGTCACCTTACTCTGTAACTTAAAGCTAGCTAACTTAGCAAAATCCAAAAAGAACTAACGCAATTTGTCAAAGTACGCATGGCGCCTCAAACTCTAGTCTCTTGACTCCCCATAACTTCATTGTCAAAAATAATACCACATTGAATAAATTTTGAGTGCAACATGCAGGAAAAACCTTATAAATGCATAATATACAACTAACAATCAATGTATTGGCGTAACACCGAAACAGTAGGTCTTTAACCTATAGAATTATATGTATCAGCCGACAATCAAAATATTGGAATTCTCATCCAATAACAACATTTGACACACTTAAAAACTTACCTCAGTAAATTTTAGGCATCAAAATGGTATATTCAGCAACAAATTGTCTTGAAAATCGCTTAATTTTTACGATAAATATGGACTGAAAACAGAAAAAGAGCCTACCTCACCGTTTAGTGTCAAGTCAATTTCTAAACAAGTATTGCCAGATGTAATTAAATTAAAGCCAATGTAAAATGAGGCTTCAGTAAATAACGAAAAAGAAGTTTTTTTTAGCTAACATGTACAAGAATTCAAAGGTTAGCGGTCAAAAAAAACGTTATTACTTTGTTCTAATTTTGTTTAATCGTATGAAGTTACAGAATTTGCCATGATCTGTTATTCTAAGTTTTAAAAATCATTTAATGCCTGGTTCACTTTAACCCAGTATAGTTGAACAGCAGTGCTTAAAATAAGCTTTAGTATATGACTGGTAACCATAAAGGGCAGCAGCGAGCATCCCTGTTCAATAACTAGCACAGCGTTTTACGTTTGTGGCCAGTTAGGCCATTCCGCCCTAACTGAATAAAACGTCCTGTCCTATGCCAGTCCTGATCTGATATAATATTATAAGGGAACGACACGTTGATTATTTTATGGAATACTTATTTATCTGGACTGCGAATCGGGAGAAACAAGTCGCGCTAGCGACTACCGTTCCTTCAATTTGTGAATTAATCAGTTTCCGATTTTTTAATCGAAAGTAAAACAGAACTCCGAAGCCGGAATGTATATACATCTTGGAAAAGATATGTTGCCAGAATGGTAACTAGAAACGGGATTTTAGAACTAGTACCTAAACCCTTAGGCTACCGATGCTCTCTAGACAGGCATTAGTACCATAAAATAAAGTAAATAAATGAACAACTCTTTATTATTTTACTTTTGAAAACATACCTACCATGAGAGCCTTGGCTCCTGCACTAGGTTCCCCTGTGCTGCAGGAGCCAAATATTTTTTATTTTTTTTATTTTATTTATTTACGGATA